GAGCTGATCGATTCGCCACCAGTAGAGCTTGGCGTAGAGGTGGAGGATAAGTACGAAGAGAACAGCCATGAATAAGACAATGATTGCTGTGAGGATGATCTTGCTTGTGACTTCTTCGGTTGATAAGTCTCCAAACATTGAGCTATGAGCAGATCTATTACCACCATCGTCCATTGTATCAAGACAAGATCAGAACTTTTTGTATCAGACAAGATCAGAACTTTGTTTTTGTTTCTCAAAAGCTTTTAACTTTGAAGAAAAACGAGGATAGTGTGCAGAGATGAATCAGCAGCACAGAGATGAGAGATTCAACACAATCGGCTTGATTCTTTGTAAGAAAACATCGAAAAGGTTGGGGCTTTTGACACAGATTATGTGAAATTAGGGTTTTGTGGAAGGGAAATCAAGCACTATAAAAGTACCCAAGAGGATGAGAAATCGAACTAAACAAAATGTGATGAGATTGAGACAAAGAAAGAAGCTATAAAGGTCTGTGTTTTTGTTTCCAATCTGTTGTTTCTGCCATTGAAGGCAGTGAAGAAGAAGAAGAATGATAAGGGAGATGAGTGGGGCCCACCACAGCACCTCATGGGGTTGGGGAGCTACTCTTCCTACAAAAACTCTACTCACTTTAACTCTCGACAAAATTTCTTTCTTAATTCGTTTATTAATTCCTAATCCTTTTCCATTACTCTGTTTTTCTGGTATTTCTTTCCCTCCATTACTTAAATATACTGAGAAAATTTACCAAAAATACAACAAAAAAATTATAATTCGAAAACTAAACAAAAAATCTTAAATCCAATGGTCTAAAAATTGTCACATACCCCATTTTTCCTAACATTTTAAATATTTTTTTTTATTATTCACCAAAAAAACCATATACTAACTACTTACGACCAAAAAAAATACTAACTATTTTTCTGGATACAAAAATTGGGTCGGATTTTGTTATTAACCGATAAAATCTAGAATTAAGATGAAATAAGCGTTTGATGTTTATTATGTGAGGAAGTAGTATGCGATTAGTAATCTGAGTCTATTTAGAAGGATATGAAATATTCGAGGGGGAATAAGTACGTTCTCCTCATAATAAGAAGAACATATGGAATGGCATTATAAGCTAAAATGATGGTGTACACTGATTTACACATCTTTTGATACTCTTTAGTCTTTCCATGATATCGCTAATTCTCCACTATTTTTACATTTTGTTCTACTCTCTTCTCTTGGATTAAAATATGAATAAGCAAGGAAAGTTGGTCAAATGTAATGGATGACAATATGGCATGCACTAATTTTAAGTATAGGAGATGATTAAATCCATATTATATCTACAATAATATGCGAGCTAATGAGAGCTTTTATTCTTTCAAGATCAAGGGATACACGGAAAACAATCCTCCTGCTCGAGTCCTATGTTTAAGGATCATGTCTTTTCATGAAGTGGAACCTTAAATGTAATTGCAAGTTTAGGCACTCATAAAATATATTATGTAAAAAAAAACTAATAAAGCAAAAGTTAAAAAAGTGTATGATATTAAAAACAACAATAGAAATCTAATGAGCCTACATTTTAATTTTCTTTTTTTTATGAATCTTTTTTTTTTCATTATTATTTGAATCTTATTAGTATTAATTATTCTATGTTAAATTTAAGATATTTTATTAACGTTATTAGCTCAGTATGTATAACTTGTAAAATAAAAACAATAAAGTTTAACTCAAAGTTGGTAGCTTAACCGGATATATGTAAAAAATCAGTTTTTATGGAAAATCAGACAATAATATGAATTCGATCACATGTAATTTTAGAGGACATATTATGTTGAGAAAATTGAGAGAAGTAAGATAATTTGGAAAAAGAAAACAACTTGGTATATGAAAAAGTGTTATAAAATTCCTCATTGCTCAAAACCTCAAATGCTCATTACCCGAAAGAAATTAGGAAACTTTACTTTGTCTTAAAGGTCAACAAAATATGGTTAGTAGGCAAAATGATGAGAAAAGAATGATGATCTCCTTCACCCTCCTTCCTTTAATACAATATTTTCCTCTTTAATCTTTAATTCATCCTCCCTAAATTCATATGGCATAAATAACACACACACATAAATACATATTTGCTAAAAAAAATTGAGACCATGTTCGTTTGACACTCTTTTCTTATTGTGATTTGCAGCTATGACTGACTGTTTTGTTGTCTTCCGACCGATCACATCCCATTTAAAATTGTGTCGATAAAAAATTCAATGACTTCAGTTTAG